AGAGGCGAGCTGCAGCATTCTGGACCAACTGGAGACGCTTCATGGAGGATTGGTTGACTCCAAAGTAAAGTGCATTCCAGTAATCCAACCAGGATGTGATAAAGGCATGAATTACTGTTTCAAAGTGCTCATGAGAAAGGAGAGGCTTGACTTTATCCAGCTGCCTAAGATGAAAGAAGCTAGATTTAACAACGGCACCAATTTGCCGGTCCAGTTTAAGATCACTGTCCAGTTTAAGACCCAAGTTTGAAGGAATCATATTTGTGCTGTCCAATCCTTCCTTATAACAGAATTTCCGTATGTGGGAAATGAGCATGGCACATGTCCTTTATGAACATGCAAGTATGTGAGCAAAATGCATGTGTAACAACACAAGCAATGAAATGCAAAAATATATGCTCCAAACACTGATTATAACACAAAAGCTGCAGTATACTGTACAGGCATACGAACAAAATACAGTATAACAAACTTAGGACTACTGGATATGCGGACCAGGAGTGGACGGTACGACACTGAAACAGACAACAGAAACAAATGAAACAATTTCACACATCGTTCCCGATATACTATTTATGATGCTCAGCTAAAATGTCTTTTAAAACAGTGAGAACAGTCCATCAGCAATTAATTCAGTGCCGTGAGAATTAAATGAGCTGGATGTCTGATGAATATTCGCAGGCAGTGGAGATTTGTCCTTATAGAGTTCATCGGAGTTATTCAGCAGCATCCTAGCAATTGTGCACCACGCCCTCACGATGCCAGCAATTAATTTGCATATAAGAGAATGCGGGACTCATAAAGGTTTAGCAATTAACTAATAGCTGACTGACTGCCAAGTGTAGTCACAATACGCTCCTTCTCTTTTATAAACTGCGATGTGAAACACGTAAACAAGCAAGCAGGAAGCTGCAGAGAGATCCGCCTTTGTGCAGGCTCACTTCCAGCGCCTCCCTCTGTATCGGAATAAAAATAGTGTCTGTCTTTCACACACGCACGCACAGAGTCAGAGAGAGAGAGAATTACGCTGGTATGAGGATATGAAGGCGCAAAAAAGAGCTTAGACGAGATGACTGCGATTGGGATGGTTTTGGCATGTTCACCTTTGCTTAACATCTGTGTCATGGGAAATTTGGTATCTTTTAAAGTGTAGCTGATTGGAGTTGTGTTCTGTGGCATTGAAAGAGAAAATCCCGCGTTCTGTTGCACGATTTTCTTTTGTCACTGCCTGACCGTCCTTAAAGACTTAACGTTTCTTGTGCTACATCAATTAGAATTACCAAAATAATTTCGATTTTCTAGATGGCAGAATAATGAGAGAAATATATATATTTTTAATACATTTTAGTCGGATTTGGTACGATAGCCCTTACACCGTATATCTTTGCTCCAACCGTTCTGGATACACAACAGTTGGCAGGAATTTTGGCCATTCCTCAAAATAAAACTCATGCAAATGAGCCAAGTTTGTAGGCTGCCTTGCTCAATAGATGTTGGGAAACAAATACTGCATTGGATGGCATAATTAACTGCACCCCAGGCGGGGAGCGTCACAATGACACTGTGACAATGTGTGGAATTTAATAAAAGTTACAATTAGGCAGCTTTTTGGCATCGAGGATTGTTTGAAAGAACAGCTTGTACCTTATTTAATTGCCTTAATTGTGTGTTGCTTCACAGAAACCAATCTTGGGAAACTGAACCAACAGGTCTTTGATGCCAATATGTAATTACCTCGTGTTAAATAAGTCTCTTCCATAGTAAGGGCAATGTGTCAAATGGCATACAACTCAACAATGAAATGCTTTTAACACTCTATTTTGGGACCCTCCAAAAACAAGCGTGGGTAACATTTTCACAGGATGTTAATCTACTTAGAAAAACATGAGTCGGCACCACACAAACTATAGTTTACGATATTACAGTTAACCCCCACTATGTCACGGTTCATCATTTGTGCCACCCTAATATCACAGATTTGTCCATTTTGTTATTTTAGGCGGTTTTCAGTTTACAGACAAACTGTAATTTAGAGTTGTGCACCTTCACTGTAGTACCTCATTGTACCACAACATTTCAGGCAGCACTGAGCTCTAGTGAATATGCTGCACAATTAAGAGCCAGAAGAGCCCTGTACGTGTTGCTGCTCCATGTGTTAAATTAGCCTGGATGCTAATTCCCGTTAGCCAGTCTCTGGTATTTCACATTATATATTAGCATTTTGGTGTTTAAATATACAGTACAATGTTTAACTGTTTTAATTTATTTGTCAGTTTCACAGTAGAGTGGGAGTGATAAACCTCTTGAAGCACACGTGTCACGTTATTTGGAGAACTGTACACATGTGAATCTCATTTACATTTCCTTAAAGCGATGTGTTATGATAGCAACCCATTTCTTGACAGCTAAAGAGCGAAAGAGGGTGACTTATATTATAATAAACCTATGTGTGTTTAAAGTGTGTGGGAGGTTTAAAACATTTTTTTCTTTAAAGTTTTTACTTGATCTCTCTATATCGCGGGTTTTCACCTATAGTCTAAAACAGTGGTGTCAAACATACGGCCCGCGGACCGGGACCGGCCCCCAAGGATGTTTGATCAGGCCCGCAGGATAATTTAAGTGAAAAAATGCATAAAAGACACGGAATGAATATTTTTAATAAGGTGCAATTCGTGAAGTATCCAAACACTGTCACGGAGACAGACCCAACAGTCTTGACAGCTAAAGAGCGAAAGAGGGTGACTTATAATAAAACTATGTGTGTTTAAAGTGTGTGGGAGGTTTAAAACATTTTTTCTTTAAAGTTGTTACTTGATCTCTCTATATCGCGGATTTTCACCTATAGTCTAAAACAGGGGTGTCAAACATACGGCCCGCGGACCGGGACCGGCCCCCAAGGATGTTCGATCAGGCCCGCAGGATAATTTAAGTGAAAAAATGCATAAAAGACACTGAATGAATATTTTTAATAAGGTACAATTCGTGAAGTATCCAAACACTGTCACGGAGACAGACCCAACAGAGCAGATGCTATCAAGGACATTTGAAAACTTTATTCTTTACACATTTAATAGCACTCTCTTTAGTTTGTAAGGTGTAGGCAGGGATTAAATTTAGATTTTATATGCACATGTGTAAATGGTTTAAAAACTAATTTCTTTATAAATCTCGTTTAATCTTAAAGTGCATTACTATGTTTTTAAATATCAATTACTTGTTAAAGTTTTGCGCCTTTGTACAATCACTGGGATCAGTTGCAATGCATATACAGTATGTGAATGATAAAAGTAAATTGCACATCTAAAATTGCACTCTAAGGAAATCTAATGTGCTTCATGAAATGTTTTGTAAAAGCTATGTTCATTAAATTTCAATATTTTCCGAATGTTCTTGTGCTTCTTTAGACCAAAACAAAGGAAAGACATTATTTTGGCTATTTATAGCAGAGTATGGTATTACTTTAATGGTCCGGCCCACTTGACATCTACCGAGGCCGTATGTGGCCCACAATGTGAAATGAGTTTGACACCCCTGGTCTAAAGCATATCCCCCACACTAAACAAGGGGTTCATGATATAATCACAACATCAAATGCCGCTACCAAGAAGGCCAATTTAAAAAAAACAAAACTGATTTGAGTAGTCATTCTTTTGATAGTTTTGGTAGTTATTGTGTCACGGAGCACAATAATCTGTGTGTCAGTCAAAATACATTTTTAGTAATTCTTGATCCACCATAGCAATTGTCCACCCTTATCAACAAATTCAAGTGTCAGACTTTACCATCATTGCTGCAACTCACAATCTTGTCATGAAAATCTGTAATGCATACTTGGGAGCAATTGCAAACACGCCAGCCATTTTTTTGTTGTAAAAATATGTAAACATCCTCACATTTGCTGGTACTAAATTTAGCCTCATGTGTTTTTGTTTTTCTGATGATGCTGGATACGTATCAGAACTGTATGGGTCCACACATATCACGTGAGTGGGTGTGGGTTTGGTACGGCGATGCTATATCGCGAAGTGGCGTGCGGAAGCAATGTGGTGGTGAGAACGTAGATAAATACCGGCAGCTAAAAAAAAAAAAAAAGACAAAGTCCCATCATCATCCTCGATGAACACATGCGCGTGCGCACACACACACACACACACACACACACAATTCAACCAACATTCATGAAAACTTGCAAACTTCATTCATCCAACTTCATTCATCTGTGCTTATTGCAGTGTTTATCTTGCAATAAACGCCTTTTTTGTATGGTTTATGTTATTTAGTAGGAAAGCATTGTTTAGATATTTGAGGTATCACAAATGCAAAGAAAATGGCATCAGAGTGAAAGTTTTGCTTTTTCTGAAATTTTTGAGGTAAACGATTATTTTCAATAAACGCACCAATGTTCAACTGCTAAAGAATGGTAAAAGGTAGAAATGTATTTTTTTCCCTGATGAAAGAAGAAGGTTAAAGCTTTCTTTTGGTATGCTTATGTAGAACACAATTTTCTGTTGGTCTTCAATAAGGTGTCAAAATGGTCAAAAATGGCTGGCGACGGCTCTCCCAGTTTGAGAAAAACGGCTGCCATTGAGTTAAGGGGTTATGATTACCATAGCAGGCGACACAGTGGTAGACTGGTTAGCACGTCGGCTTAACAGTGCAAAAGTGCAGTGTTCGATTCGAGTTCACTGCCACCATGCAGGGTTCGCATCGCAAATTTAAGCTCGCAAGTCATCAGCTGAATATGAGCTTGGATCTCGAAAAACTCACAAGCTGCTCCTGTATTTTAAGGAACAGAAATGGTAATTCTAGGCAAATAAAAATGACTAGGGATCACACTGGAAGTTTCGGTGACGCTGGACGACAATTTTCCCAAAGCTCTGCAGGCCATCTTAATATTAATAACAGTTGTAGTGAATTAAGTGGTCATGTTTGGAGTGGACACGGGCAGCGGCAGTAATTGGCTCATTGTAAAAAGTTGAATCCAGGTTAAAACGCCTGTATACCACTGTTTAGGTGGAGGAACGTGTTTATTTGGATCGTAAAGAAAAGTATTTTGTCACACGTTTGAAGTCGTTACAGGAGAAACAAAACAACTTCATGTCCATCCAGTTGCATAAGTAGCTTGAGTCTCATTGAGCTCATTGAAAAGTCATTGTAGGTTTTCTGTATAGCGTGGTCAAGAGGCCTGTACAAAACAACACGCAAGAAGAGGTTGCTGATGCTTCACATTATTCCACAGCGTGATGTCCCAACGTCAGTCTGGATTTTGTTTTTAAGGGCAAAGTTGAAAAATAGGAATCTGGGCAACTTGAAAAAAAAATGTACATGTATATACACAAAGTGCTGAACAACAAAGACGCCCTACTCACAAAACGTGAGTGGGGCATCTTTGAGGTGAAATATCAAGATGGATTTATATTGTACATTAACAACTGGTAAAGGAGGGAAAATGAGTGCTTTTTATGTTTCATTAACTTCAGTAAAAATATCACTTAGGAAGTACTGGGAAACGTTGGTGGGCTGCTCTTGGACCGAAACGCTGCTGCCGTGTTGACACGCAGAAACCTATAACACACACAAGAGTTTTCATTACATTTAGTTAATTTAGTTTAAGCGCGTCGGTCTCACAGTGCAGAGGTGCAGGGTTGGATTCCGACTACGGCCTTCATGTGTGGAGTTAGCATGATCTCCCCGTGTCTGCATAGGTTTTCTCCGGGTACTCCGGTTTCCTCCCACATTCCAAAAACACGCATGGCAGGTTAATGGAACACTCTAAATTATCCCAAGGTGTGAGTGTGAGAGCGGATGGTTGTTTGTCTATGTGTGCCGTGCGATTGGCTGGCAACCAGTTGTCCCCCGCCTAGTGCCTCAAGACAGCTGGGATAGGCTCCAGCACCCCCCCGCGACCTTTGTGAGGATAAACGGATCGGAAAATGGATGGATGGAGTTTTACTCTGCTATTCTTAATTGCCTTACCAGGTTAAATAAAGGTTTTTAAAAAAAAAGCTATTCGAGCATTCATTCCATATCCTTGCTATCCAGATGAAGGCTGATGGACCTTGAGCTGCATAGCGAGGATTTGCAATAAATGCTGACATGCCTTTTCAAAAACTTGCAGCTGGCATTCTTGAGCACTGCTTACTTGGGTTGAAGAGCCAGAGGGACGAGGTGATGGTTGTGATGCTATTATACAGGATGTTAATGGGTTGGACTCCACTTTTTTTTCTGTAGTCTCAGGTTGGGGGGCCGCCGTTGGTGCCGTCGGTCGCTTCCTGGGCACAGGTTTGCTAACGTTCGGTCGGCGGGAAGCAGCTTTGCCACGAGACGACTCTGACTGGGTAGCGCTGCTCGTTCTAGTCAGGAAGGAGAGGAAGCCTTTGGGTCTCCTATGGGGGGTAAAAAAAATTAGCATGTCTTGTTTTTATTAGGGAAAACAGCTTTAACAACTCTAAGTGAGTAATGACAATTATTGTTCTACAGTAATCCCTCGTTTATCGTGGTTAATGGGGACCAAAACCACCCGCGATAAACGTAAAAGTAGCGACCAATTAACATATACAGGTAAAATTTTTTTTTTTTAAAGTCCACAAACATTCCGTGAGAAGCTGCAAAACAACAGCAAGTCACATAGAGCAACATATACAGTACTGTACTCCATGTATATGAACAAAAAAATATTATTATTATTATTTTTTTTTTTTATGAATATGTTTGAAAAAATCCGCGATGCACCGAATCCGCGATAAACGAACCGCGAAATAGCGAGGGATCACTGTAAATCGTTTGGCCCTACTACTCGTGGTAGTTCAACATTTTTAGCTGTTATCAAACCCCCGCTAATGATAAAAATCGAAAAATCTTGAAACACTCAAGTAGTAACTTTAAACGTAAGCCTACATGAGGTCGTTGGTGCATTTCATCACCTTTGGGGAGAACTTAAAACAGCTGAAGCAGTTGTGTCTTCACTTCCTGCAGGTGGCGCTGGTAGGACTGGATGCTCCGTGACTGCATTCTGGGGGTTAAAAAAAAAAAAAAAAGACACAAATGGAAAACCGTCTTCTTAATGGCCTGTATACAAAGAGTTGGGTCTCGGGAATGCCTGCCCACCCCCTAACATAAGAATTCTTGTCACACACAATCTACTAAATATTTCAATGTCAGTGCTTCAGTGTCACCTTAGTGAGACCCATCTCCCCTGATCGAACGGCAGGTGCGGAGCGCTCCGTTCCTGCAACTGCACTGTCCGCAGGAGGGCTGCGTAGACGCAGAGGTACCGTTAGACAAACAGGGTTATCACCTCAGCGCATTAGGACTATTCTAACCTGTGTTGCACTGTTAGATCTGCCCGAGGAGGCTGATGGGAAGACTCGTCCAGCGGGACTTCCATCAGGGACAGGATGAAGAAGGGCTCATCTGGATCCGACGGAACTGACAGCGCTGAGGTGAGAGAACGAGTTTCAGACTTGGAACACCGCATCACATTGACATTCATTCAGCACATAATTATTTCTCAGCCTCAATTACTGTCGAACACAAAAGAACAAAGGCGAGTGCCACAAAACAAAAACGGGGTGGCGCCCAGTCTGTCCTTTATTCAGTGATCGTGTCATCATGAATACTGTGGGAAAATCCGGCTGGCTTTTGCATTAGACGACAGATTTAAAATGTCTCAACCTTATGACTTCATGTCAATAAACGTGGAAAATTGAAGACTTTTTCAGACTTTTCTAAGCCAAAATTTAACACCTCTCCTTAAAAGAGGATCTTGCAACATGGGCTCGCAGGACAATGTTGGAAAATATTTGTAGACTTTTCAACATTGTGTTTGGGGAGAGAGCATCCTATTTAAAAGGGAAAGTCAAGTCAAATATGTTCTTTACAATAATATTATGTGTGCCCCCCACTAGGCTTAATACGATATTCTGAAAAATATTACGTTTGTGGAATATGATTTAGAAGAAAAATGCAACCGTTTTTCTCCATTTGAAGGGCCAACCGTTTAGCCTTATGAAGCCACTTGCAGGCGACTGAGAATGACATCATAGCGCCGAAGGGCTCAGCTTGCGAAGGTCACATGACCAATCCCAGACAACAGGTGAGCCGCGATCTCATTTTCAGTCAACAGCAAGTGGTAAATCTTTGACTTGACTTCCCCTCTAAGCCTAATTATGACATTTCATTTTGTAAAAAACACATTTTAAGGGCCCGCCAATACACTGTCATAGCATCATGTGTAACATGCATCCACTTTTTTTTTTTTTAATTCTCCATTGTTGCAATGTCCATTTTAGCACAAAGTCACTGACTTACTGTCTGGAAATACTGAGAGATTTGCAGAAGTTTGGTTTGCTCCGCTGACTGACGCCGAGTCATCCTATGGACGTTAGGTGAGAAAGAAGAAAACACCAGATGACGAATCACTGCCCCTAAGTCTACACAGTGCTCCATTTCAGATTCAAATGCACATTTAGCCTCGGAAAACACTTAATAGAAAGTCGTAGTAGGTGGGAAAAGAGGTCAAACAAACTGAAATGAACCCGCTACCTGGATGGGGCGCTCAGGTTCTGGCGCCTCAATTGTGGATGCCGAGCAAGCAGCTTTAACTTGCTCTTTGGCACCCTCTACTGGCGTCAGCAGGACAGTCGTTTGCCCTCGAGGAGCAGAGGTGGCTTCAGGGCAAGAACCAGATTTTGTGATATCGATGAACAATGCTGTACTCTGTGATGTTAAGTTTGCCCGACGGAGAGTGTCAAACCTGATCCCGTTTTGACCGCCACTTGTCGGGACTGCCGAGCTCCACGTCCAACATTGGGCTGGGGTTTGACAGGCCTGCTTCGTTTCATTGTGGAGGTTGGGGTCAACAAAGTATCCTCGGTGCTTTCAGTATAAAGAAAGACTTTCCATGAGCATGCAAACTAAAAAAAAAAAAAAATCTATCCACATGCACAATTTGAGTAAAATGAGTTTCATTCTAGAGTCAACACTTAAAAAATGTGTTGTTTTCGGCCAGATTACAGTATTTATACATTTTTGGACAAGAGATTAATTTCATGTACTACAGTTTTCAAAAGAGGCTTACTGAGCTTCACTGCAGCAAATGAAATGATACAATTTTGAGTTTAAGAATTGGCTGATTAATAAAATGCTACAACAAATGCAATTTCACTGTGTATTTTTATGTACCTTTACTAGAAGCACCAACACCATAACAAGAGTAACACAAAGGGAACAATGCTTGACTATGCAAAAGAAACCACAGAACAAATATAAAATGCATGGATGATATGAGCAACACAAAAATTAGGATATTTTATCGATATAACAATAAATGTGAAGCCACTTTTTTTTTTTTTGAAAAATATACTGGCAGCATTCTTCTGAAATTAGCCAAGCTAGCAAGGCACCGTCCATGAGTAACTGACCATAATGCCAACTCAAGAGCCGCTCGCCACATATTGTGCAAAGCGGGCTGTGTGCATGGCAATCATTTGGCCATACAAACCCAATTCTAATGAAATTGAGACGTGTTTAACTTCAATTTTTTAAAAATGCAATTATTTGCTAATCATATTCAGCCTATATTTAATTCAAAACACTACAAAACCCAGATATTTAACCACTGTGATTCATCACCTTTTCTTCTAACATTCAATAAACATTTGGGACCTGAGGACATTTAATTGTCTCAGCATTGTTAGGTGGAATTCTTTCCCATTCTTGATTGATATAGAGTATTAGCTGTTCATTGTTATTGTATGTTATGCTTCACAACATGCCACACATTTTCGATTGGGGAGACAGGTGTGGACTGCGGGCAGGCCAGTCTAGTACCCGCAGTCTTTTACAACAAAACCACGCTATTGTAACACCCGCTGAATGTGGTGTGGCATTGTCTTGCTGAAATAAGCAGTACGTCCATGAAAAAGACGTTTCTGCTTGGATGGCAGCCGATGTTTCTACAAAACCGGCATCGAACATTCAGCATTAATGTTGCCTTCACATATAACAGAGAGAACGGTGCTCGCTTATCAAAATAAAATATTGTTGAGCCTAGAACAATAAATAACGTTTTTTTTAATTCTTTCAACAACGTGGCTTGCCGCAGCCTGGTGGCTGGGGACCACTGATATACAGTATTAGAAAATATTAAGCTCACCTTTTGGGGGTTTCAGCCTTGGCTTCAGTGGTTCCAGAACTTTCCCGGAATGAATCCGGCGGTGTGATGTTTAAGGAGGGGCCGTCAGTTGTGGAATTCAAAGAAATACCAGTCGCCATCACCCTTTCCAGATGGAGAGCAACACTGCTGGCTGTTTTCTCACCCACTGCTGGAGTTTCACTGCTCTGACCTTCAATAATGGACAACTGGGACGTTTCCGTGGAGCCAAACTCACTGCTTGCACACTGTGGACTCGCTAAACTTGCTGACATTGACTGACAGTCCGATGTTACAATGGACGGTTTGCCCAGTCCATCCCTTGACTGCGACGTTGACTGTGTTGCTCTAGCGGGTGACCTCAAGTTAGGTTTGACCTTGGGGAGGCGTCGGCGTCTTTGAATTGCTTCTCGAGTGTGGTTCGATGCCTCGGAGTATTCCCGATTTGTAACGTCAGGTGAAGATGTTCTCGCACCTGAAGGAACATTTTGACAAGTCTCAGAAGTTGATTGTGATGCTGCCTCATGATCACGACTGCTTTCAACTACGTTGCCATCTGTGGAGTTTGTGTCTCTGGCAGCAGGTCCAAGACCTGTCCCCATCTCCTCACTAGAAGCGATTTGCTCTGAAGGTCTCAGAGTGGATCTTAAGTCGGTGACTGGTATCACAGTTGAAGCAGAACTGACACTTTGACTTGGTTTTTGGATGGAGAAGGAGCAAGTCGGCTGTGATTTCACTTCAGCTGTTGTTTTGCAGGTGGATTCAAGATCTGAGAATGTGCTACTTTCTTTTGTGGTTTGAGATTTAGACAGTGAGCTTCTTGATATCTGCAAAAGGTTAGGTTTGACTTTTGGGAATCGACTCCCCCTGGAAACAATTTGAGTCGAGTTCTGACCTTTGGGTAACTCTTGCAAGGTACTGCCATGATCTCCATCTTTTTGGTCCAAGGGTTTATTTAACTCTTTGGCCTGTGGTTCTGTGACTGCTGCATCAGATGTTGCCTCATTATTACGACCACTTTCAACTGTTTCAAAATCTGTGGGCTTTGTGTTTCCAGGGGTACAACCTGGCTTTTTCTGCTCACTAGGAGTCAGTTCCTCTGAAAGTACCTCACCGGTATCACTCACGACTGCAGTCACGGTCGAAGCAGAAGTGCTGATTTGACCAGTTGGCTGTGGACGTACCTCAGTTGGTCTTTTGCAAGGCGATTCAAGATTTAGAGACGGGCTCATTTCCTCTGCAGTTTGACGTTTACCCTGTGCATTCCTTGAACTCTGGAGAAGGTTTGGTTTGACCTTTGGGAATCGACTCCTTCTCGTCTGCAGAGCAAAATTAACCTCACTCACTTTCGGACGTTCAAATAGATCCTTGTCGTAATCTCCAGATTCTTGCTCCAAAGCGTTCTTTGACTCTTCAGTCTCTAGTTCTGTGAATTCTGCAGTATCATTAGTATGACCAGCATCTGTGGACTTTGTTTCTCCCATAGCAAGTCCATCACCTAACGTCTTATCCTCTCCAGAGGTCAGTTCTTCTAAAGGTGTCATGACTGAGATTACGTTCATGCTTGAAGTCGCATTCGTGCTGGCGCTCTGAGTGCTTGTGCCAGGAGAGAGGGGACAAGCTGGCTGTGGTTCTTTTGATTCTTCCCGCATGGCAGTGTGAAATTCTCCGCCTTCCTGCACCAAGTGTGTCTTTGACACTTCGGCTTCGGGTTGAGGAGCTGCCTTGGTATTATGACCTCTTTCAACCGCATCAGCATCTGTGGATGTTGTGTCACCTGCTGCATGTCCAACACTTACCACTTTCTCCTCATTAGAAGTCAGTTCATTGGACTGTATCATACGGTCGCTTAAATTCATAATTGGTGTCACAGTTGAAGCAGAACTTGTGCTGTGACCTGGTGTCTCTAAAGAAGCTGGCTGCGGTTCTGCTGCTGCTGTTGTTTTCAAGGTTAATTCCAGATTTGACAACAGGCTTGTCTCTTCTGCGGTCTGAGGTATACACCGTGCACGTCTTGATATTTGTGAAAGGTTTGGTTTTGGTTTGACCTTTGGCAATCGACACCTGGTCTCTTGAGAGTCACTCAGTTTCTGACATTTAAGTATATCATGCCTGGTAGCGTCATGATCCCCACTTCCTTGTGGCAAAAGTGCGTTTGACTTATCAGTTTGTGGTTCTGTGACTGCAACATATGATGTAGCCACGTAATTATGACCGCTTTCAGCATTTGTAAACTTGGCTTCGGTGGCGGCCGATTCAAAGTCACAAGTGTGCCTTTTTGATGCCTGATCAAACTCTCCTTCCATAGGGATTGTTTCTTGAGAAAGGATGGGCGCAGAACTGCAGCACTCCATGGGAGACTCCACCGGTGAAACGTCTGGTTGAAATTTGGAATGGGCAGTCCTTGAGGCAGTGGTAAGGTTAGGTTTTGGTTTCACCTTGGATGAGGAACCTCTGCTCGTCGGTGGGCTTGAATGCACAGGAGGACTCGAGTCAGGACCTGAAACAGTTCTCTGAAGTGAAGGTGCTGATGTGGGAGCTTCAATCGTCTCTGTGACTCTGTGGTCTGTTGACGTAAACGGGATTTGGCTGGAACTGTTTTCCTTGATGAATTCGGCTATCTCTTCCTCCAGGAATGTGTTGGTCTCAGTCACACTCTCCGAGTCTGTCTCTGCAATTAGACACAATTTGATTGTGACGCTGGACCGCTTGCAGCAGTACTAGCACAGTGAAGTATGTCTACCTGTTCTCTGATCAGGCATGGTCTCCGACTGAGAGAGTTGAGACATGTTGCCAATGGCCAGCAATGTCTGAGCAGCCTCGTTGTAGCTCTCCACCTCGGACACTGAGAAACAACTTCACGTTTAATTTCAAGGTTTGCTTTGGAACACTGTGAAAAAAAACAACTCAACATACCTTCGGTGTGCTCAGTAGACAGTAAGTCAATAACATCCTGAAAGACAAGGGACATTTTATCAGGGTTTGTCAAACTTCACATCTACTTCTTTGTGTCACACTTAAGATGACCACAGTGAAAACTGGGGGGAAAAAAATAAAGACAGATGGATGATGGCAATGTTGAGAGTGAAAGAAATCAAGTAAGAAAATTGTGCTCCTTTTTTATTTTTGTTGATACACTAAGCTGGAGACACTTACGACTAGGAGGTCCAACTGATGCACACACGCTTCGGGTACCCCCGTCTCACTTTTGTCCCCCACACAGAGGGAATCGGGGCAAAGTGTATCTTGGGAAATGTCCAACACAGTAGACATATTTCCCAAGATATCAAGCTACATGGGACAGGAGAAAGAAAGGGTGGGGAGTGAATTATGGAAAGCATGCAAAAACAAATGCAAATGATGTAATGATGTAAAAACTGATTTGTGACCAAAAGAGTTTGGCACCTCCTCCATTGTCTCATCCACCTGCGGGATGACAATCGAGGGAGAGCGCAGGCAGGCGGGCACAAAAACTCCGTCATCCCTCTGCTGGACCTGCTCCTCCTCATCCTCGCTGGATTCAGACTGCGATGCTCGCAGGGTAATAAGTTTGGACTTTTTGGACGCTGGGGCAGCGGAAGGTGCTGTGGTCGATCTGTTCCTCTTGGAGGTGCACTTGCGCTCAGATTTATTGGTGGGGCCCTCTTCCTTGGCAGGGTAATTTAAGACGCTGCGAGGCTTGGGGACTCTCCCATACCTGCGAAAAAGGTGTACCTTGGCATAAGAACAAGCAAGGATGCGGCTTTCCAAAATGCCCACAAACATGCAACTTCCTAGTGTGCGGCCTCTGAATTGGGACACAGCTTGAAAAGTGTACCTCGTGGGTTTTGGCGGTTTGGCAAAGAAATCTTCATCACCAGAAGAAAGACCACCTTCACTACCATCGTCACCGTCACCATTCTCCTCCTCACTGACTCCTCTAGGTGGCGTTGTCGCTTTGTTCATCTGCAAAAAGTTTAGCAGCAACTTCAGAAAAGCAAAATCTGGAGGAAGATGGTTGAAAGGGTATTCAGTCCGGTTCTGGTAGTGTCACCTGCTCTTTCGAGGCTTCACTCGCCGCACTGACATCCTCTGGAGCAGATGCATTGTCTTCAGCCTTCGCGGTGGTTGAACCAGGTGGAAGCTTCTTACTCCACTTTCGACCCAGGGGCAGGACTGGTTTGGCCGCTGTGCCTCGTGAGAGTTTGGCGGGGTTAATTGATGTGCGCTCGGATGATTTGTCCGTCTCCGTACTTTCGCACCTGGTCGTTTTGGAGAAGATATTCCATTGGAGATGTTAGATTCAATCGAACATTTCATGTTTCCCTTTGGTTCTGTTTACCTCACGTTTTCTCAACTACTCTGCGACTACTCAGTTAGTCTTTTGTCACCCGGAAGTTTTGGTACATGTGATGTCAGATTCAAATGTCTTAAGTTTCCTTACACTTCTGAATTGGGTTGATCCTGAGGAAGGGGTGCGCTTGTGGCTTCAGGTGTGCAAGTATCATCTGAGGAGACAATCAAGCAAGCAATCAAACAAAACGTGTGGCTCAACGGAAATGCACGTGCGCTGACAGACCTTCTTCACCGCTCTTTTCACCCGCTTTGCTTTTTGTCTTCTTTAGTGTCGCAGCAGAGTCGTTCTCCGCGCTCTGGCCTTTGCGTTTCTTCCTGGCCTTTGAGAAGGAGCCTCTTCCATCCTTGCAGATATTGTCATTCTCTTTCTCGCCGTCCTCCGTGTCCGAGCTTGAGAAGCCATCAATCTCGTCCTCTTCTTCTTCTTGCCCCTCCTCGCTGTCGAAGAGCTCGTCCACAAATTCTTTACCTGTCGGGGAGAACCAAAAGTCCAAGTGTTGAAAGCCAACATGGATCATTTACGATGCAATGCAGACGCATCATATAATTAACTGTAAGGCAATCAGTCATTACGTCTGCTGTATTGCAGATTTTTAAGCAAGCTTTTATGATGGGATTTTACAGAATAAAGTCAAGTCTGAATTTAGAGAATCACGCCTTCAGTGTAGTACCACATTGTGTGGCAACAGGGCTGGAGTATATCGGAAGAAATGAAGCTCAACCAAGAGCAAAAAAATTGGCAGAGAAGGCCCGCAACTTGGCTCGAGGTATAGCCACAGTTTCCACCTAGCGGAGTGAATATACAATATGTCTTTCATGTCTTGTATGTGTCTCTGCTCTGTGCATGTTGAAGTAGTCATTTAAACTTTTACAACCACAATAACAAATATGCTCATTTCATTTTGCCCATCTGTGGCATTTCACATTATCTGTTAGCATTAAGTTAGCGAAACTTCAAGACGAGATTTTAATGGTTTGGTCCATCCATTTTGTGTTGAATTGTTTCAGTCACTTTGGCCTTATTCAGAGGACTGCGTGAGCCAACGAGTCTTCTTTTCGTTTCATTAAAGCAATGTTGTACGATGGTCACCAGTTTCTTGTGAGTGAAAACAGGAGCAAAGGAATTTAAATAAGAATAAGAAAACCTTTATTCGTCTCACAAACCGTGTGTTTTGAATTGTTTCAAGGTGTTTAAAGCATATAAAAAGGGGATAAATGCTAAAATAGATATAGTGGGTCTGAAAAGTATCCCCACCTGAAGAGCAGAATGTAAATTGAGATACAAGTGCGTACGGGTACATAAGAAAAATCTTGCAAATTAATCATCTAAATCACAGAAGGGACACATGACTGTGTTTAATTATTGCCTTCGCCCGGCGTCTTCATTGTGAGCTGTTTGCCACGAGAAATGATGGCAAAACAAGGCGACGCTAATAAGGAGTAATTGCAGACAAAATGCGTATTCATTGCTGGCTGTCATACGTGAAGTGCCCTCTGATGCATCTCAACTACCTCAGAGTAAATCACTCAGCACAGTGTAAACACTGGCACACACTCACACACACACACACACACACACACACACACACACACACACACACACACACACACACACACAAAATAAATCCACATTGCTCTTTAAGTAACCCCAGAAATAATCACAACGTTGCTCTCCTTGACAGACCCGTATCTCGGCTCGAGTTCTGTTGTGAAAAAGCTGGCCAATCATGGAGAAGTCTGTTCCCACCATGCTGATCGCCAGGAAGAACATGTCTGTCTCTGCAAGAATAAGGAGACATGGAAAAGCAAGATATGAGATGCATCAATTTTTGGCTTGGCAAGACAGTGTGGTGTTGTCCGAACCTTCCCTGGTCCAGGGCTTGCAGTAGGTGGATGCCCTAAAACTGGAGTAAGTGGTGGTGGAGCCGCGCTCAAAGATGGGGTCTCTGTCCTCGGCTGGGTTCGGTCCTTTGGCTCGCTGGACCTCCACGGTCAAGCTGAGACACACAAGCACTCACAATTTACTGTACAGTGAATCCCATTTATCGTGGTGGAGATGAGCCAGATTCATCAGCAATAGATGAAAATCCACAATAGACCATGTTTAAAAAAAACAACAACAACAAAAAACCTCCCAATAGTAGTTCACTATAAAGCTGACGTGACACAAAAGAGAAATAAACATTGTATATTAAACATTAACTGTCCAACCAAATCCTGTAACTCCATGTCACAAGACTCAGCGAGCAGAGGGATAACTAAACGCCAAGGGACAAAAACTAAATTAGCACTGCACACTGAAGGGATGCAACTCTAAATTTGGTCTGGCACAAAAAAAAAAATCCTTTTAACAATCCAAAATGTAGCAGTAGGGTTAACTGTTACTTTGATACGTTAGCCTTTTGCTGGTCAATTTCAGTTTGCCGGTTGAGTACTTTTGTTAGTGCCCCTACCTCTCCTCGTCCAGGATCAGTGTGCCATCTTCGGCCACTTTGACCCGGGGCACCATCAGCGCCTCATCTTCATCGTCGTCCTCCTCTGCCGCCGCCGCCACCGCCTCCTCCTGTTCCTGTTCCTCCTCCGCCTGGCTCCCCGCTGCCGGGACAACTTCTGACTTCAGTTTCTGCACTATCTCTGGCAATCTTGAACAGCGGCAAAGTAGAAGAGCAGTTTAAAACTTGCACAGCCTTGAGTTTAAACTCGGACGGACTCAACTGTGACCTCACTTTTCTCTCCTTGGGGAAAATGGAACGACAGTCTCGTTCTCCGGAGTGCTGCCATCTTCTACACTGGACCTGTGATAAAGCAGTTGCAGGTCAGAGAAAGGAGTAAAAGGGGTGATGCGGTAGGATCGCTTCAATGGGCGTGGTCCACTCACGACATAGGGTTGGACAACGGCAGGTAGCGGATGAGGTCCCTCATGGTCATTTTGGAGGGATCCAAATTGAACTCCATGTCATGCTTCCTCTTTGCTCTCTTGGCATTCTGCAACACGACATAATTAAAGCCCCTCTTGAACTTTTGAGCAGTGATTCGCAACCACTGTGCCTTGACAGATGATCAGGTGTGCCCTGGGAATTGATCGAATTTCACATAATTGGTCCAACTATTCGTTGCTTTGATTTTTTTACATTGTACAATGTGCTCTAAAACAGCCATTCTAGCGAATTATACCAAGAGACGATTCATTTTTCGGGTGACGGGATAGCTCGCTAGATAACTACATGTCGCAATTGTACCCAATAACTCACATAGGTGCAGTTCTTATGTAGTGGGAGAGGATCGACTCCAGTCGGATGCCGACGTGTGCAACAACAAGACACAAGAATTCCAAAGACTAACCTTTTCTTTCCGCATCTCCTGTCTGAGCATGTCACGGAGCTTCTGAGCCTTTTCCATCCTCTGAATGTCAGACGGGTCGTTCAAAAGTCGACTCAGGGAAAATCGGGGAATCGACGACTTCCTGCTCTTCGATGACAGGAGAGTCTTGGCTTTCTCTGACAGTGCCGCCGCTTCTTTGTCTGGCAGGGCCACTTTGTCCGGCGCCCTGTAAGGAACTTTGATGAGACCGTCGTCCAACGGTGCCAATGTCTTCTCTGTTTTTTTGGTTCCTTTTGGAGAGTGTTCAGCGGAGACAGCAGCTGCTTGTCCTGAACCATCATAAGAGACGAGGATGGGCTCCGGCTCCGGCTCCGGCTCGGGCGACGTCGGCGACTGGGCTCCAGACGGTACTGCTTGAGTTTCAATTTGTGGCTCGAGGTTTGAATTTGTGGGGGGACTTTCAGAGCACACCTTGGCAGGGGACTTTGGCGTTCGAGGGAGAGCAGCGGGGCGACCCGGGGCCACCCTGGGCTTGACAGAGAAGCGTTTCCTCCTCTGAACAGCAGCCAAGGAGCTGCTGCCATCCCCACTTGGATCATTTCCATCACTAAGCAGGAAAGAAAAATGTCTACATTAACCAAGAAGAGATCCTTGTCTACATGAGGCTGTATGGCTTTAAAAAGCGGCGCATCATCTGGTGAGTGACATGGGTGCTAGCGAATGAGAGTGTGAGAGTTGGCTGGCTGTTAACTGGTTGAGATAAGCTGCATGTTGAGAGGTTTCGCATGAGTTACGGCCATTGGCAGCTCGTGTACTCATTTCATGTTTAATTTCTGAGTGTTTATTCAATGAGGTGATCAAAACTACACCAATGGATGCGAGGGTATTACAATACTGTCTCGTTAGCCATGGAAGGCTATGTTAAATTAGCTAACAAGCTAGCAAGACACCTCACCTTTTACAATTTCGCTCAACGTTGCCTGAAACCATGACTAATTATTGACTTCTAAAGGGTTGAGTCACGCATTTCCTCCTTATTAGATAAACAAACTACTCACCTAACGGCGGTACTTTTAGCCACAGGCGCATCAACCAGCTTGCTGTCAGTCACCACGGAGGCTGCCACGCTCTCGTCGACGTCTTTCGTCGTCTCTTTTGCCTCCTGACTTGCCGGTACAGCATCCTGTGATGAAGATGCCGTCCTCCCGGCCCCACCCACGTTCGGACGAACGCTGAACCTTGAGCGGCGAAACATCAGGACCTGAATGTGTCATAAGAAGTGTCAATTAGCTATACTGGAATATCATACACATTGAAACTAATTATTTCTCAAGACTAGAAAAACATAAACACTTTGAACTGCTTAAGATATTCATATTTGAACAGTGTCTCACAAAAGTGTGTCCACCCCTCATATTTTTGTAAATATCTTTTCATGGTTCAACACTTTACTACAATGTAGTAAATGTATAGCTTGTATCATGGTCTAAATGTACTGTCCCCTCAAAATAACTCAACACACAGCCATTTATATCCAAACCGGTGGAAACAAAAGTGAGTACACCACTAAATGAAGATGTCCATATTGGGGTGCCAAGGTATTTGACATGAAAGGGGAGCAAGGAGGGTTTGGATTTTGTGTTGTCACAATGGTCACTGCCAAGTATCAATTGCTCAGTTCCATGAAAAGATATAATAAAACATTTACACAAATGTGAGGGATGTACTCAGTTTTGTGAGATATTATGTGTTTGATAAGTGACAATTCTTGACTCAATAATTGCTGAACCTCAAAAAAACATTAATTTTTACCTTCATGTGTGGTTTACCACTCACACTCACAGATGTGACATCTGGGAAGCTGACGTTTAATATTTATTTGAGGAAATAAATGTTTACAAATATGAGATTTTAATATTAAGTGGGAAAATGCATTTGCAGAACTAAAGGCACCTCATACCAGGGTTTTTCCTTGGTCAAATTGAAGCAGAAGTGGTACCATTGTGATCCTTTGCACAGGTGTGTATACCGCGTCCCAAACTGGTTGGAAGTCAGCAAACAGGGCCAATTTATTCCCATTTGGAGTGAATCATGTGTCTCTATTAGCATTAGTTTGTATGGAAAATGATGTCTTAAAAGCTTGGAGGCAGAGATTTGCTTTAACGTATTTGTCACTGAATTATTTCATTAATCCGTTCAACTCTAAACTGGCCAGTCCCCCTACATGTTATATGCAACAAAGTATATACATTATTTGAGTTAGACTTCACTGCTGTTTTTTAAGAGTAGGGGGTGCATTTTTGACACTTTCTGAGAGCACAACTGCTGATAGTCTCGCAGCATGAACACTTAAGTTTGTTGTTTCCAGAATATTAAAAGTTGACCTGTGACGTTGCCAGCAGAGCAAAAACAGCTGACCCGTTAGCGCTTCTAAACGTACGTTTACTAATAAAACTACGCGTGTTTTTTGAAAGAAAACGCAGTGAATTTAAACAAAATCGAAATATACCAGCTGGTAATAAGTCTGGGGAAATAACAGTGGACAAAACGTCAATATGTTGTCTTTCGTAGCAAGATTACGACCCTAGTGTGTGGTGTGCGCCTTTTTCTAATGTCTTCCGTGGTTCTGTTTACGAAACCAAAAAGGTTTTATCGGTGATTCCTGATGTTTGTTCTGAACACTCACCTGCTCACCAGCGTTTCTTCAGTGAGGAGTAAAAGTACATAAATCGACGAGAAGAAGAAGCCCTGCAGGACTGCGGCAAGATATTATTCCGCCATGTTGTTTACGACGCAATATTTCATCGCCCGCGAGTGGCATTGTGGGAAGTCATGACGTCAAATGTACGTGTCGTCGTCTTCTTCTTCTTCTTCTTCGTCTTTTTCTTCTTTTTCTTCTGCTTCTCCTCCTCCTCCTCACCATCATCATTTTGAGAGATTTTTTTAATTATACCCGCTAGATCCACACCTATAATTTTAGGATTAACCTGGCTTCAGACTCACAATCCTGCTATTACGCGGGACCGGCCTGCTGTAGAAAACTGGAGTCCTTTCTGTTTTAGTCATTGTTGGCTACCCCAAGCAGTATGCATATGTATTGCAGTTTTTCTCATGGTTGTATGTGTCTTAGAGGGACCAAAGTCGAAGCATATTTATGCATGTGTTTTTGTTCAGCTTTTGATGCACCCCCATTAGTGCATCATTACTGTTTAGTTTCAGTTATGTTTTTGCTATACCTGTAGATAGCAAATGTTTTGAAAAATGAACTTTTTATTTGGCAGTTTGAATGTCAAAATAATTTGTCAAATGTTCTCTTTTTTAATTATATTTTTAGACACATACCTGTAAAGCCCGCATGTTCATTTGGGGAAAACATCATTCATTTGAGATGTTACTCTGAATAAAGCTAAAGGATTCATTTGTAAGGCGCTGGGCCCCCGCCAAGCGGTCGCGGACGGGCCCCGTCCCTGCGACGTCGCTTTTCGACCCTTCAATGTCAACTCTTCCTATCATTGTGAAGCAGAATCCACCAAGCGTTGGATATTTCACCCACTTAAAGAGAAGGTGAGCTGGGTTTGGACAGTCGTGAGACAGGTTAGTCTCGCCCTACTGATGGTGTGGTCGCGATAGCAATCCTGGTCAGTACGAGAGGAACCGCAGGTTCAGCAATTTGGTGTATGTATGTGCTTTGCTGAGGAGCCAATGGTGCGAAGCCACCATCTGCGTGATTATGACTGAACGCCTCTATCTCAGAATCCCACCTCGACGCAGGGATACCATAGCACCATGGCCCCCGCAGTTAGCTCCAAACCTTGAACCGGTTGCCAGCCAATCGCAGGGCACACATTGACAAACAACCATTTGCCCTCAGAATCACACCTAGAGACAATTAGGAGTACCCAATCAACATGTCATGCATGTTTTTGGAATATGGAAGGAAACCGTAGTACCCAGGGAAAACCCACACAGGCATGGGGAGAACATGCAAACTCCACACAAGAAGGTCGGAACCGGAATCGAACCCAACACCTCTGCACTGTGAAGCTGACATGCTCACCAGTCGACCACCAGTGGTGCCGCCCAATTGCGTATGCATTTATGTGAATAATTTTGAGAAAAATGTAACCCCATCTGAAAGTGAAACTAAATTAAAACTAAATTGCTCCTCTTTAGCAGTGGTACTTTTTTGTGTGTGTAATGTATTTCATATCAGTATCCGCATTTACGATTCCAATTCCAATGGGGAAGTAATATGTGACCGTTACATTTCTTAGACACATCACATTGTGACCTGTTTATATCAATTTCTGTGGTAAATCAATATATCGGGGCTGCATTGATATCTTTTGTTTGGGCCTTGCACGAATATAACGAAATTAATTCTAAACTCGGATTTAAATTAATCTGCCTGCCTCCCAGATGAAGTTCATTGTACTGTACTGCGGATGAAATCGGAATTAAACAGGAAACCCATTTGCCAATTTCGTTCGAGATCCTAACGGACCAAATGCAAATACTATCATATTTATGGAGATGATAAAGTTGTTCAGAGAGTAAAAATAATTAATGTGATGTTTTTTAAAACATATTTATTCTTGAAAATGTAAACAAAATGGTCCGTGGAGAGCTTGCTAGATGGGCTTCAAAATAACAACATCAACGTCGAACAAAGATTTTTATTTTAACGGGGACATTATTTTAGTTTTTACCTAATGAAATAATTCTTAGATATACTGAACAACCCCAGTCTTAAAGCGGACCGTTAAGTCTTACGCAACATTCCAAAAAATATTTCTATTTTATTCTGAAAAGACAATCCTCTTCCTGGAAGTTTTGCTCTGCCTTTTGACCACGGAAGAAAATGATGGCACTTGGCAAGTCACCACCTCCAATCATGGAATCAAATCTCGATGGAAAGGACGTGGTGTAATCGACTACACTGGGTTTGATCTGGAAATTGCTTCGGCGATCAGGTTATTTGTTCCATAGACTTGAATCATCTTCAAACGACTCCGTTGTAGCTTTTCGCGGTGGAACGGAGACCAACGTCTTTAGAATTTTTTGCTTGAGAGGACTGTATTTGGCTATTGTGGCAAATTAGCATGTCGCTTTAGTTAGACAGGATAACTGAGGATGGAGTTGACGACAAGAGGAAAGTGACATTTAATCCCCTTGAACAATGCTGGCAGAAGTGGAAAGTGTGTCTTTCCACATTTGTTAGGACACCACTATTGCCCTCTGGAGATGTTGGATGTCCATACACGTCAGCACCGCTCCAGACAACGACAGCATTCATACAGCAACACTCCATCCGCCACAGGTTTCTCTTCTTAAAACAGCCATGCATCTAAAGTCAAGGAGACAGTGGACAACCGTCCTATTTGGTGTCATTCTGGGATTCACTGCGTGTTCTTGGTTGATTGTACCCCAAGTTCTGGAGAGAAAACGTAATGAATCCCCCCTGTGTTCGTTGAAAAGTCAGTCCGCAGTCGGGAAAATATCGGGAAACCTCGAGGACTCTGCGGCCGTCGACGACCGGGGCAATCACGTTTTCAAAAATGAGAACAGACCATATATTCGGGGGAATAATAGTGCAGACAGCGGGAGGCTCTCGAGCCGACCGAAGCAGTTCCTCTTCGTGGGCGTGATGACGGCGAAAAAGTATCTGGCTACCCGAGCCGTGGCCGCGTTCAATACCTGGGCGCGTTCAATTCCCGGGAAGGTGGAGTTCTTCTCGAGTGCTGGCTCCAACAACGTGGACGTTCCTGTTCCTATCCCGGTGATTTCACTTCCAGGCGTGGACGATTCGTATCCGCCACAGAAGAAGTCATTTATGATGCTGAAATACATCCATGATCACTATCTGGACAAATACCAGTGGTTCATGCGAGCAGATGATGATGTCTATATAAGAGGTAATTATGCTTTTTCTATGGATTTTTAATGTTTTTTTTCTGTGGACAAGACAAAATTAGCAAAACTGTCATTTGTGGTCATATGGAAAACAACTTCGTTGCCCCTCCCCCAATATAAATATATGATGGCCTCACTGATGTAGCTGTGTTAAGAAATGTTTAACCGTGATACACAATTAAGCAAACCACTGTCATTATTGCATGAGGTATTTGCATTTGCGTCAAACTTAATTGTTCACACATTTTGATCATACACTACCTAACTCCAAGTATGTTTTCATATTATTATTTTTTTCATTAAGTTACCCTTCTATTTCCCTTCACCCTGTTTAGGTGAGAAGCTAGAGTTGTTTCTGCGTTCTCTGAATAGCAGTAAGCCTCTTTACCTTGGCCAGACTGGCCTTGGCATGGCAGAGGAATTGGGCAGACTAGCGCTGGAGCCTGGGGAGAACTTCTGCATGGGCGGGCCTGGGATGATCTTCAGCAGGGAGGTACTCCGCAGGATGATACCGCACATTGGTACTTGTCTCAGGGAGCTGTACACAACCCATGAGGATGTGGAAGTGGGCCGGTGCGTGCGACGCTTTGGAGGGACACAATGTGTGTGGTCCTATGAGGTACTGATTGAGTTATTAAACTGTTTCTTTGATTCATTTTGAATATTTAAAGTTGGGTTGTGAAATACACTCGTGTCAGTTTTGTGTTGAAGTAAAGATTAAGAACGAAAGATCATGTAAACTGAGAACTGGGTTTGGACGTTCGTGAGATGTGGAACTGAGAAGACTATTTACACTTGGAATTATTTTGAATGCACAATTGATATTAATTTACTTTTTTTTTTTTTTTTTTTTGCCACATCCGCAACATAATTGTTCCCATTGATAACAAGAAAGTTCCGAAGAAAATTGCATGACTGTGATTGAGATACTAATGAAGCAGACGACATTATGTTTATACTGGGTCCTTTACAAATGCTCCCCTCCCAGGCCAAAAAAAAAAACCATCTAATTTGGGAATTCTTTCCACAGATGCAGCAGTTATTCTATGAGAATTACGAGCACAAGAAAGGTTTCATCGAGGAGCTCCACAATAGCAAGATCCACAATGCCATCACACTACATCCCAACAAATGGCCAGCTTACCAGTACAGACTCCATAACTACATGTTGACCCGCGAGATCTCAAGACTCCGCTACCACACCATTCTGCTCCATCGGGAAGGCCTGACTATGACTCACCTTAGTGACACAGAAATGCTGTGGGAGGACCAACAGCTGGGAGGACCGCCGTCTTATATGCGGTATCAGCCCAGTGACCGAAATAACGTTATTGAGTGGGATTTCTTGACCGGCCGCCATATTTATTCCGCTGTTGAAAACAAGATGCCCCGCCAAAACCTCGTAAGCTCTCTTCGAACTGCATTAGAAGATATCATACTCCAAGTCATGGAAATGATTAATGAAAATTCAAAAACTCGCGGACGTGTCATAGATTTCAAAGAGGTTCAATATGGTTACTACAGAGTGGATCCAATGCACGGGGCTGAATACATCTTGGACTTACTGCTTCTGTATAAAAAACACAAGGGACGTAAAATAACGGTTCCCGTGAGGCGTCACGCATACCTTCAGCAGTCCTTCAGTCGACCTTTCTTTCATGAAACTGAAGAATTAAATGTGGCCGACCTTGTGACTGCGATCAACTCTGAATCCCAGTCCCTGTCTTTTCTACCCAACTCTCTGAAGTTCCTGTCTCGTTTCCAGTTCTATGAGTCAACTAGGGAAATATGGGAAAAAAGTCAAAGGAAAGTTAACATCCTCGTCCCGCTGTCCGGTCGCTATGACACCTTTGTCCGTTTCATGGAGAACTTTGAAAAAGTGTGTCTGATACCCAAGCAA